ACGCGTCTATGGAACCAAAGTGCGTTTATCACAATAATTCTTAAAGCATGCAGTGACGTGGTGACATAGTTTCCAACCCTTTCAAAATTTAATCAAATAAATAAAATTATTTTAGAAATGCTTGAAGCATTTCAATAACATGTAGAAAAATATTAATAGTCTGGTAATATAGTCATCAAAGCAGAAGAAACATTATTTTTATTTACATACAACTTTTTTTTATCTAAGTTGTTAAAATTACGACAATTCTTCACACCTCTCATATACATTCCGAATTATATTCAACTAGTTTTGAATAACTTTATTACTTTAACATTCCTTTATAATTGCTTTATTGCAATAATCTAAGATTTAAGGCTTCGGCTTCCTTAGAGCAAAATGCAGTTATGTGCATTCCAAGTTTTTATTATTGGCCCTAGAGCCCTAGAGATTCTTTGCTTAAATTTTCCCTTTGCTGCAAATCTGAAACTTTAAGTCCTTGTAACTTTTGGCATTTAAAATCAATTTGCAACTTCAAAATTGAAACATTTTTTATGTATTAGATTTTTCTCTATATTGTTGTTGTTGTTGCTGCTGCTGTTGCTGTTGTTGCTGCCGCTGTTGTTGCTGCTGCTGTTGCTCTTGTTGTAATGCAATGTCGTCAAGTTGAATTGAGAATTCTGTGGTGCGATGTTATCGAGTTTTCCACATTTTCTTGTTGGCTTTGTTAACTTTATCTTTCAGTTCTTCTGCAGCATTCGCAATTTTCAATAGTTTTTCCTTCTTTTTTTTGTGTTTAAACGAAAGGACTTAATGTTTCTATTTAGTACGAACAAACTTAAACACATTAATTTTGCTCCTTTGTTAGCAAAAACTAATGAAATTAGAAAGAAAATATAGGGGACAAAAAATAAAATAATTAATTTAATAGAACAATGGAGATATGAAAACAAGAAATATTTTATAAATTGACTTCGGACTTCATGAAGCGAGGAGTAGATAAACACAACTATTTACTTTTCTATAGAATAATTTCAATTTTTATTGCTAATTATTTTACTTTGCTTATTTTTTTGTAAAACTGCTATTTTTAATAAAGTGACATCTAATTAAAATGGAACAGAATCGATGTAGATTTAATTATTACTTTCATTTTTCGCCAGCCAAATGTTGCTTTCTAGTCTACGTGAAATTAATAGATAAAAATAATTTATAAAGAGTTTCAGTAGATAAATTTCTCTACTTCTCCAAAAGATATTCTATTAATTTATTCATAGTTTTGAGATAGTTTTTTGAATTCGGCAACCCAGGCTTGATTAGATACTTTAATAGTATTTTAAAACTGCCTACTTTTCCGTAAATATTAAATTAATATATTTCCAGAAACCATCTCTTTCATTTCTTAAACAAGGGAATCGCTATTTATTGGATTTTTTAAAAAACACTCTATATAACAAAATGCTATCTATTCATATATAACATATGTTCAGAAAGAAAAGAAGTAACAGAAAACGCTCGCAAAATGTACCAGAACTTTCACAATCGATACTTACTTGTAAGAACTTTCTCCATGAAGCGATATAAGGATTATATGAAACTAAGCACAAACTATTTATAAATCATTACCGGAGCTCTGACAGGGCGTTACTGGTTGAATTATCATCATATAAAACCGGCAACGTACTGTAGCGTAAATTGTAAGTTTAACACTGAAAAGGTAAGAGCTTTATTTATGTGCTGAAACTCTGCCTGTCACTGATGCAGAACCAAGACACACTGATGCACAAAGGACACAATAGATTTCTAGACCACAGTGGTAAATCTCCTAATGTAATATTAATAAATAAATTACTTATAGTTGTGTTATAAACTATTTTTGTTTAGTTTATAAAAACATTGAACTTTAATCATTACAATTGGAATGTGTAATAGTATGTTCTCATTGCCTTCATTAAAGAAGTTTATTTGATTTACATCGCTAATGAAGTTGATTTACCCTACAAAGATCCTTCGAAGTTTCCAACTTAGTTAAGAATAAATTAAAGGAAATTACACTAAAAATTTGGAAAACAATAAGGCAAAATATATTTTTCAATAGGGAAATAATCAAAACTTTTTAAAATGTTTGTTTCTTATAAATAAATATTATAAATAATTTTTTTTTGAATTTTCTGCATTTTTCTTGATAAATTAATAAGCTTCGCTGAAACTTTTACAGAACTGTCTGACACATAAATCAACTAATGCCAATGGAAACGATCAAATTTGATTAGTAATAAATTGATTTAGCTACAGTGGTAGCATAGTATAAAATTATTGATACGTATGAACCACTTAGTATATATTAAATTTTATAACAACGATATTAAATTTTCTGATCTCACATATTAGATGCTTATCATTTTTATATGTTTTAAAAAAATTAAAAAATTTGCTTTCATAGCATAATAATGCTATATTTGAGCAATAAGCTTATATGTGTACAATATTCAATGTAATAATTCTAAGTAGTTTTCTACAGGTATGTTTCATATATCATATATCACATGTATATTCTTATTAAAACACATTACATTTGTAAATATTGGAATAGTTCGTTTATACTATTATATAGTATAGAAGAGCTTTTCCATATTACATGCAAAAATATCTCAATAGTGCAATAAACAAGTTATTTATCATTTAACTTTTGTATGTGTATTATTTAATTACATATCCCATTATTTATTATTTTATTTTATTGTTCAAATATTCTACAGCTGGTTAATGATTTCGTTTTAATATAAACACAGTAAGTGAATTTGTTAATAAAACTTTCACAGCAAATTAATAAAACTCCAAAGTGCGAATATATGAGACAAGTACGGTTTTGGGACAGTTGGCTAATAAACACTGACTCTAAGCTTCAAATTTGACAGGGCAAGAGTTTAACCCTTGGTACTTGCAGTCACCAAAACTTAATTACGAATAGTTAAATGTAAAAAATAATACCTAGACCACTGATGTTGGGTATTTCGCAATACACGAAACAGTTGTATGTTATGGTCAGCCAAAAAATTCAATTAATTAAAATAATATAAAATAAATTTTTGTTGTTGTAGTTTACTACTGTTCGAAAAACCTTTCTATTATTTTATTTAGAATATTCTATTAATTAAACAACAATTAATCGCTTTGTATGTATTACCGGACTTAATTTTGTTACTTGACATATATCTGAATTTTTATTTTTCAGTGGGGTAAAGTACACAAACTAATACAGTTAGTAAATCAAAGCTTATGGCATGTCCATTTCAACTATCCAGAAAGAATAGAGTTTAATACCAAAGTAAAAGTAAATTTTATACAAGTGAGTGCATTCATGTCATATTTTTGTAAACTAACAGATTTTTTAAATGCTCATGACGTTTGTAGCTTAAAGCTTTGTGTTCACTTTTATTACAAATTTTTTCATTTTGAAAAATTTTTCGTTATATACTTTAAAAAAAATATTCTCACAAAGCAAAGAAAAATACTTTAAATACTGTGGTTGAAATGCAAGCGGGAATTTCGTTACTCATACTCAGTGACTTACGAAAACTATTTTACACAGTTCGTTTACTAAATGTTTATGGTTCATTCCAACAATCTCTTTTAAAAGAACATAAAAAACTTAAAAGCTTGCTAAATAGTTTAATTTAAATTTTTTACAGATAACTATCAACATTTCCATGGGATTCTTCATTCATCTTACTGCATTTGCAGAATTATTTAACTGTTTAGAAAATATTTGATGCAATTTAGCTGTATTTATATTAAAAAAATGTATTTTTTCGTTTTTATAAACTTTTATCTATTGAAAAAAATATATTTTTTTGTTTTTATAAACTTTTATCTACTGAAAAAATTTTATGTCTTTCTTTATTGTGTATTTATTTATTATTCTTTTAAGTTTGTTCAACAACTTAAATTTAATATAGGAAATATATAACTATATTGGCATGAAACTGTAAAAATTACAGAATTCTAATATAACTTTTATGATTACACAATATTGAATTAAATTTTTTTTTTTTTAAATAACTTTTGCATTTTCATTTGTACGAAATAAACATAGAACATTTTTTTTTATTTCGCAAAAATCCTTCGTACAGTGTTGCAAAGGAAGATATTTTCATCCGCTTGGGATTCTGAACAGAAATTGCAGATTTTGACAAAATTGAAGATTTGTTATGAAATGAAAATTTATTTTTTGTGCAAATTTACTTACGAGATACGAGTAACTTGAGCCCTATTGAGTAGAGCTGAGCTGAGCTAAGTTTATTTGTTTGTTTATTTGCTTCTTGATGACATACCAGACATACATACGAGCATGTCTTTTGGCTGCAACTTCTGAATTTGATGTTTTATGAGCTCTAAAAGGTTACCAAAACTTGTACATGTAGCATTGCAACATTTTCTTAGAAAAAAATTTTTGAAGTAGATTGAAATATTGCACATATTTGGAAGGATAAAGATAGTTTATATTCAATAGATTTATAGTTG